CCTCTGGAATTTCATTCCCAACCCTCTGGAATTTTTCCGTTCCCTATGGAATTCTTCATTCCTTGCCTTTGGAATTCTTCCATTCCCTCTGGAATTCTTCAATTTCCTCTGGAATTTCATTCCCAACCCTCTGGAATTCTGGATCCACTCTGGAATTCTGCATTTCCTCTGGAATTCTGCATTCCCGACCCTCTGGAATTCTGCATTCCCATGGAATTCTGCATTCCCGACCCTCTAATCCACAACAATTCCCAAATAATAATAATAATTCCCAAATTATTTCCCAGTAATCCACAAATAATGCCCCAATAATCTGCAAATAATTCCCAAATAATTCCCAATTAATTCTCAAATAATTCCCAATTAATTCCCAATTAAATTCCCAAATAATCCTCAAATAATCCCAAAATAATTCCCAAATAAATTCCCAATTAATTCTCAAATAATTCCCAATTAATTCCCAAATAAATTCCCAAATAATCTCCAAATAATACCCAAATAATTCCAAAAAAATCCCCAAATAAATTCCCAATAAATTCCCAAATAATTCTCAAATAATTCCAAAATAATTCCCAAAGAATTCCCAATTAATCCCCAATTAATCCCCAAATAATCCCCAATTAATCCCCAAATAATTCCCAAATAATTCCCAAATAATCCCCAAATAATCCCCAAATAATTTCCAATTAATTCCCAATTAATTCCCAAATAATTCCCAATTAATTCCCAAATAATTCCAAATTAATTCCCAATTAACCCCCAAATAATTCCCAAATAATCCCCAAACAATTCCCAAATAATTCCTAAATAATTCCCAAATAATTCCTAAATAATCCCCAAATAATCCCCAATAATTCCCAAATAATCCCCAAATAATCCCCAAATAAATTCCCAAGTAATTCCCAAATAAATTCCCAATTAATCCCCAAATAAATCCCCAAATAATTCCCAATTAATTCCCAAATAATCCCCAAATAATTCCCAAATAATTCCCAATTAATTCCCAAATAATCCCCAAATAAATCCCCAAATAATCCCCAAATAATCCCAAATTAATCCCCAATTAATCCCCAATTAATTCCCAATTAATCCCCACCCTCTCCACATTCCCAAGAGGTTTTTCCCGAATTTTGGGAATCATTTTTCCTTAGGATCCAACACCTGGGAGCCGAAATCCACCTGATCCGGGATTTCATGGATCCATCCCAGCGGGGCGGAATGTCGGATTTCCTGCTCACGGCGCTCGAGGTCAGGGAAGTTTTTCCCGGAATTCCTTGGGAATTCCCGGGATCCGCGGGGCTTTTCCGGCTGCAAAAGCTCGGATTTAATCCCGGAATTCCCGATTTTTTTTTTTTTTTCCCTGATTTTTCCGCTCTTTTCCCTCCTCAGTCGTGCTACGAACACATCCAAAGGATCCGGATTCATCCCAAGGAAAATTCCCACAGTTCCTGATCCCTTGGGAAAATCTTCTTCATCCCGAATTTTCCCGCTGGAAAAATCGGGAATTTCATCCCTGGCTGCTTTTAAGGGAAGGAATTCCTCCCCAGCTGAGGTTTTCCCATCCCAAAAATCACTGGAAAAGCTGGAATTCCCACCTTGATCCCATTTTCCCGTCAAGAATTCCCGGGAAAAATTCCGGAATTCCCACCTTGATCCCATTTTCCCGTCAAGAATTCCCGGGAAAAATTCCGGAATTCCCACCTTGATCCCATTTTTCCCGTCAAGAATTCCCGGGAAAAATTCCGGAATTCCCACCTTGATCCCATTTTCCCGTCAAGAATTCCCGGGAAAAATTCTGGAATTCCCACCTTGATCCCATTTTCCCGTCAAGAATTCCCGGGAAAAATTCCGGAATTCCCACCTTGATCCCATTTTCCCGTCAAGAATTCCCGGGAAAATTTTCCTTTTCCTGCTCTGGGATTTTTAATTTTTAATTTACGCTGGAGAATTCCCAGGAAAAAAAAAAAGACGGAATTTTTTTAATGGGAATTTCCTGGGATGGGAAATGGATCCCAAAGCTCTGAAAAATTCCTGGAATGAGGGAAAAAAATGTGGAAAATTTTTCTCTTTTCCCGAGTCAGGATTTTTGGAATTTTCCATTCCCGAATTTCCCGATTTTCCCACGGTTTTATTCCTCCCCGGAGCTCGGGAAAAACGCGGATTTCTGGGAAAACGGGAATAGAAACTCCAATCCCTGCCCTGAATCCCTTTGGAAAAGGAAAATTTGGGATATTCCCAATGAATTTTTGGGATTTTCCCAAAACAGCCCCAAAATTCCCTTTTTTAAACATTTTTTATCCCGATTTTTTACATTTTCCCAGGATTTTTTTTTTTATTTTCCTGAGGATTTTTGTCCTTTTTCCCAGGGATTTTCCATTTTTTCCCAGATTTTTTTCCATTTTTTTCCCAGGATTTTTTTTTTATTTATTTTTCCAAGGGATTTCTGTAATTTTTCCCGAATTTTTGTCATTTTCCATTGGGATTTTTACATTTTTCCCAGGAAATTTTCATTTTTCCCTGGATTTTTTTTTATTTTTCCCAGGAATTTTTAATTTTTCCCGGGATTTCTGTCATTTTCCCAGGAATTTTTCATTTTTCCTGAATTTTTATCATTTTTCCCTGGATTTTTCCATTTTTCCCTGGATTTGTTTTTTATTTTCCCAAGAATTCTTGTCATTTTTCCCAGGAATTTTTAATTTTTCCAAAGGATTTCTCTAATTTTCCCAGAATTTTTTCATTTTTTCCAGGAATTTTTAATTTTTCCAAGAATTTTTTGTCATTTTTCCCAAGATTTTTTTCATTTTCCCCAGAATTTTTTCATTTTTCCCAGGAATTTTTTATTTTTCCAAGGATTTCTGTCATTTTCCCAGAATTTTTTCATTTTTTCCAGGAATTTTTAATTTTTCCAAGAATTTTTTGTCATTTTTCCCAAGATTTTTTTCATTTTCCCCAGAATTTTTTCATTTTTCCCAGGAATTTTTAATTTTTCCTGAATTTTTGCCATTTTTCCCAGGAATTTTTAATTTTTCCTGAATTTTTGCCATTTTTCCCAGGAATTTTTAATTTTTCCAAGAATTTTTGCCATTTTTCCAAAGATCTTTTTTAATTTTTCCCAGGAATTTTTTATTTTTCCAAGGATTTCTGTCATTTTCCCAGAATTTTTTCATTTTTCCCAGGAATTTTTAATTTTTCCTGAATTTTTGCCATTTTTCCCAGGAATTTTTAATTTTTCCTGAATTTTTGTCATTTTTCCCAGGAATTTTTAATTTTTCCAAGAATTTTTGCCATTTTTCCAAAGATCTTTTTTAATTTTTCCCAGGAATTTTTTATTTTTCCAAGGATTTCTGTCATTTTCCCAGAATTTTTTCATTTTTCCCAGGAATTTTTAATTTTTCCAGGAATTTTTGTCATTTTTCCAAAGATTTTTTTTCATTTTTCCCAGAATTTTTTCATTTTTCCCAGAATTTTTTCATTTTTCCCAGAATATTTTCATTTTTCCCAGGAATTTTTCCCTTCTCCAGGAAAAACAAACCCCAATTTTCCCTCCCACTTTCCCAACTTCCATAAAAAAACCCCGGAATCACCAAAACAAACCCCAGAATCCCACGGGAATTTCACCAGGAATTTTGATTTAAATAAAACTGGGAATTCCGAAGAAATTCCAGGCTCCGCGTGCTCCTTATTCCCAATTTTCCTTCGGAATTCTTTCCAGAAATCCGGGAATTTTCTCCATTAAACACCTCGAGATTTCTTGGGAATAAAAAACCTCAAATTCCCCACTGGAAAACTGGATAAAAATTCCAAGGAATTCTCTGGAAAACGAGGCGGATTCCCATTTCTGCTTCCTGAAACTTCCCAAAATTCCAAGTTTTTTTAGCTCCGGCCTTTTGTGCTTCCAGCTTTTTTGATTTTTCCAAGGAAAAGCAGGAAGGGGACGCTCCCTTGGGAAAATCCGACGGAATTCCGGGTGGCAATTCCCAACTTTCCCGTTTTTTTTCCTCGGGATGATTCCAGGCAGATTCGGCTCCGAGGTTTTCAGGGAATCGATCCCGAATGGAATTCTCATGGAAAAAAATTTCTCAATTTCATGGAATTTTCCTTTGGGAGAGCCAAATCCCGCTCCGGCTTCCAGAGAATTCCATGGAATTCAGCAGGAATTCCCAAAAAAAAAAAAAAAAAAAAAAAGCTGGAAAAGCTGGAGCTGGGAGAGCTCAGGAATTCCCGTTTTTCCTCTTCCAGGTTTGATCCACAGGGAATTTTTTCCCTGAGCGAGGCTCAGAATCCATAAAAATTCCGGGATTTTCCTTCAGCTTGGATGGGTTTCCCCAAATTCCTCCGAACTCCGGGAATTTCTCCCTCATTCCCGAATTTCCGTTGGATTAAAGCTCCAAATCCTTTGGAATCAAGGCGGGAAAATCGGGAATTCCCGTGTCCATCGCCGCTTCCAGCTCCGGCTTCAACAGGAATTCCGTGGAATTCCACAAATTCCGTGGAATTCCACAAATTCCGTGGAATTCCGGGGAATTCCTGAGCTGCTCCCAGAAAAGTCACGGAATTCCCGTCATTCCAACACCAGACGAGGGAATTTTTTTTTTCAGAATCCGTAAAAAATCCCAGGAATTTTCCTTCAGCTGGGACGGCTTTTCCCGAATTCCTCCGGGAATCGGGAATCCCGGGAATCCCGGGAATCTTGGGAACGGGGAATTCCCAGCTGGGCGGTGTCCAAGGCCTTTTCCAGCCTCTGGAGCAGCTCCAGAGGGGGCGGGGAGGGGGATGGGAGCCGCTGGAATTCCTCGTTAGCGCTTAACGAGCGCAGCACCGCGGCCAGGCGCTGCAGGTCGAACACGGCGTGCGGAATTCCCAAGGCGGCGACGGATCCGCGGGAATTCTGGGGAACTCCCAAAGTGGGAAGGGATCCTTGGGAATTCAGGCTGGGAACGGAACTTTGGGAATTCTGGGGAGTTTCCAGGCTGGGAACAGAATTTTGGGAATTCTGGGGAGTTTCCAAGCTGGGAACAGAATTTTGGGAATTCTGGGGAGTTTCCAGAGTGGGAACAGAATTTTGGGAATTCAGGTTGGGAACAGAACTTTGGGAATTCTGGGGAGTTTCCAGAGTGGGAACAGAATTTTGGGAATTCTGGGGAGTTTCCAAGCTGGGAACAGAATTTTGGGAATTCTGGGGAATTCCCAAGCTGGGAACAGAACTTTGGGAATTCTGTGGAATTTCCACACCAGGACCAGAACTTTGGGAATTCTGCGGCGTTCCCAGGCCGGTGCCGGATCCGGGGGAATTTTCCCGGGATGAGAATTCCCGGTTTTCCAGCAGCGCCAGGCGGCTCTCGGCCAGCAGCCGCAGGAAGTTGTAGAATTCCGGGAAGTCGATGCCGGTGCAGGATTTCAGCAGGAGCTGGAAAAGAGGGAAAAGGGATCGGGAATGAGAGAGGGGAAAAAATCCTGGCTGGAATGGGGGAGAATTGGGTTTAATTAAATTATTATTATTATTATTATTATTATTATTATTATTATTATTATTATTATTATCATTATCATTATTATAATTATAATCATTATCATTATTATCATTATAATCATTATAATCATTATCATAATTTTTATTATTTTTATTATTGTTATTGTTGTTATTGTTCTTATTATTAATAATCATAATCATAATCATATAATCAATATAAACATCAGTATCATTAATATTATTAATATTAATAACATTAATAGCATTAATACTATTAGTCTTATTACTCTTATTACTATTATAATATTATATTACTCTTATTACTATTATTATTATTGAGATAGTATTATACTATCATTAATATTATTATTAATATATTAACATTATAATATTGATATTATTACACTAATATTATTATTACTATATCGATATATTATATTATATTATATTATATTATATTATATTATATTATATTATATTATATTATATTATATTATGTTATGTTATGTTATGTTATATTATATTATTACTATTAATATCAATTTAATAATAACAGTAATAATAGTGATAATAATACTGATAATGACAATAATGATAATGACAATAATTATATAATAATCATCACAATTTTTGTGAATTAATATAAACAAATGGATATAAATAATATATTTTATTCATGATAATTAAAAATTATTAACAATATTTATTATTAGTATCAGTTATCTATTAATATTTATCATTTCTGCAAATTAATAGAAATAAATGTATATAAAACACACATCAATATTTATTAGCCATTATTACTAATAATTATTACTATTATTAATATAATTAGTTATTATTACTAATAATATTTATAATTTCTGTAAATTAATAGAAATAAATGTATATAATCACATATCAATTAATTATCATCAACAATTAATAATAAATAAGAATTATCAATTGATATTTTTTCTTAATTGTCAATAATTATTAGTAATAATATTAATGCCATATTAATGCTACATTAATAATACAGCAATTATATACAATTAATATATTATAAAATAACAGAAATAGATATATAAATAATTAATAATATAAATGGGAATTCCTTCCCAAGATCCCACGGGAATTCCATGGGAAGCCATTCCCGGTCATTCCAGGCTCCAGCCCAAATCCCTCTGCAGCTTTTCCGGAATTCGGTGGGAATTCCGGGATTTTGGGTGGGAATTCCCGGATTTTGGGTGGGAATTCCGGGATTTTGGGTGGGAATTCCGGGATTTTGGGCGGGAA